TGGCTATAACTCAGGAGCCATAACTCAGGAATAGCCAGATGGAAGAGAGCCACAGGGCAAAGTATGGGGAAAGAACACAGGGCTTCCATGGGCTCTCCAGAGAGCCATTCTCCCAGTACCTCCATGTGCTCACCAACAGGAAGCTCTCCAAACCCCACCCTTTGGAGGTTTTTATGGAGGATTCATTATATAGGCATGATTGATTAAATCATTGGCCATTGGTGACTGAACTCAATCCCTGGCCCTTCCCCCTCCCCACAGGTGTCGGGTGGGACTGCCAGTGCCAACCCTCTAATCACTGGATGATTCCTCGGCAAGAGCCACCATCCTTAGGTGTTTTCAGAAAATCACCTCATTAACATAAACCCAGTTGTGGTAGAAGGAGGTTTGTTATGAATAACAAGATGCCCATTACACCTTTATGGCTCTGAAGCTATTTTAGGAACTAAGGACAAGAGACCAAGTTTTAAGACAATAGTCGCTCCCATTGCTCTTACTGCTCAGGAAATTCCAAGGGTTTGAGAGCTGTGAGCCCAGAACCTTGGATGAAGAGCAAAGAAATATGTGAATTACCAAATATATACTTCCTGTAAATCACAATATTACAGGGACTCTTCAAACACTCTGCACATCTAAGTCTTACAAGTGATGCAGTTGTGAAACTGCACTTGATTTCTAGATGTTTGGTTTCTGCTTCAAAATCACTGACTTTTTTGGTTCTTGCTTCATAATCATGATCTATCACCCTCACCACTCTTCCCTACAACTTCCCTACCAAAATACCGCCACCACCACCAAAAATAAAATCAGTTTCATATATTTTATAAGCAGCCTTAAATTCTTTTTAAGACAAGCAAAGTATGTGTTAACAAAGTTAGAATTCAGGTAGCCATTTGTCCCAACTTGCCTACAACAAACCTGGTTTATGCCTATTGCCCTGCCTAATTTTTGAAAGCTCCTTCTTTTACTCTAAAAAAGGGGGGGGGGGGAGTCCAGTTTAGAGCATAAATTATATGTTCACCTTATTTAAAAACACAACTTGATTTTCTAGTAAAGTGCTTTTCAGGTGACGCTGCTTTTGTCCCCATCACTGGACTTGATTTGCACAACTCTGCAAAATAGGGAGGGAAATGTTTTATCTCAGATAACCAAGGCCTCAAGTAGTAGGTGGTGACTATCTTAGGTCACATACTCAGGGACAGAATCAGAGGCAGAACCCAGGATTCCTGACTGCAGTATTTTTCAGCTGTTGATCACTTTGTACAAAAATCTGAGTAAAGACAGTTGGTAATCTGCTTGCACTTGAACCTAGAACAGTTTAGGCAAGTTCATCCCTGCCCAGACACTGTCCTTTCACCTTTAAAGCAAGCAGAGATGAAAGAAGTATTACCTACACATAAAAGGCATATTAGTGAATCCCAGGCATTCTGGAGCCAAATGACATATATATATATATATATATATATATATATATATATATATTTTTTTTTTTTTTTTTTTTTTTTTTTTTACTTTACTGGGCGCAATTATGTCAGATTATTGGAATCTTACATCTAACCAAATTAGATGTCTCAGTTAACAACCAAAAAGAAGAAAGAAACAACAAAGAAAGACCAATAATGAATGCCTACTGTTACAAAGAACATATAAATGGGTTCTGCCCCAGTCTTACAGATATATTTTCCCTAAGGTTATGTGCTAATCCTTTCTGTTGTTGTTGTTTTACCTAAAACCAGAAAAATTCTACCTTCCTTCGATAAATGGCAAAGAGACAAAGGCACAGTGTTTGGCAAGGTCTCCAGGTCATTCCAGAAGTGCTGAATGCGGCGCCACACCATTAAATAAAAGCACACTCTCCTAACCTCCCAAAGGCCTACCCCAAAAGAAGGCCACAGAACCCACAGGCGTCTCTCCCTCTCTTTGCAAAGACAGAAAGGGGTCCGCTGTGCCTGGGGAAGGATGACTCCAAGCCGCTGGCCAGTCTAGCCAGACCGCAGCAGAGCGGAGCACGCCCTTGGACCAGTTGTGGGCACCAGCCCCAGACCAGGGAGGTGGCCGGCCTCCTCCTGCGCAGGAGTCTCAGGAGCTGAAGGTAAGAGGGCAGCGGAGGACAAGCGCGGTCCCCGGCAGGGGGAGGAGGGCCGCGCGCGCATGCGCCCCGCCCCGCCGCCGGCCGGAAGAGCCGGGCAGCGGAGCAGCTGCTCCCCGCGCTGCTCACCGCTGCGCGGGAGAGAGCGCCCGCCGCGCGATGCGGCCCCTGGACAGCTCCGGGGCAGCCGAGGTGCCAGAGCCCGGGCTGTGGCTGACGGACGACGCGCCGCAGGGCGCGATCGAGGAGCCCCCGGCGGCCGAGTCAGCGGGGACGCCCGGTACCGGGAGGTGCTGGCTGTTCGGCTCCTCGCCGTGCGGCTTGTGTGCTCCGCAGGGTGAGTGTGGGGTGCGGACCCGGGCGCGGGTCTTGCCCCTTGGGGTAGGGGTGGGGGTGCAGGCGCCCGCGGGCGGGGGTCCCCGCAGAGCTGCGGGCCGGGGGTTCAGTGAGGACCGCTGCCCCCATCCCTACCCTGCTCAGAACTGGGGAAAACCCTCGAGCCCTCACCTGGGGGTCTGCAAAGCAGAATTTCGTCCCCGCTGGCGCGAAGACCGGAGAAAGTTTCTGATTGTGTTTGGAACCCTTTTGGCATTCTGAAACTGTTCCTATAATTAAAGTGTTGCGGGCAGGACAGCGGAGTCAGATTGCAGTTTGGTGCGCCCTGCCGGAGGTTGGAGGTTGGGGGGTCAGTAAGAGGCCATCCCGCAGCCGGCTGAGGTTGGTAAGGAGCTAAACTATGAACACTGATGACGGCGGTAAGCGGTGTTCCTTCAAGAGGAAGTTGAAAAGCAGAGTATGGGGCACGTGGGTGGCTCAGTCCGTTAAGCGGGGGACTCTTGATCTTGGCTGAGGTCTTGATGTCAGGGTTCTGAGTTCAAGTCTTCAGTTGAGCTCCATGCTGGACATGGAGTCTACTTAATTAAAAATTTAAAAAAAAAAAAAAAGGAAGCATAGAGTGTAGAAAATGCCTCAGAATCTCAGAATCTTGGAAAGCCCAAGTTGACTGAGAGGAACCACTGGTTCTTTGGGGTTGGGAGAACTTATTTGTTCTCGTAAATTTTTATAATATATTTGTAATAGCTCATATTGAACTAAACCAGCATTCCATTATTAATATAGTAAATATTTTGTGATTTTTCCCTATTTTTCTAAATTTGAATCATTTTATCATAGACCTGAAACAAATACAGAAGGACTTTCTTGGCAATTAATCCTAAACAAGGCAGAGGCACAATCTTACATTAACATTGTTAGGAGGTTCACAGACCTGTCTTCCAGAGCCCAGTATCCTGTAAAAACACCTTGATCTTGTTCAGCCTCTTTCTTCCACAAATGAGGAAAGTGAAGCCCAGGAAGATGAGGGCTTCAGAGCGGGGGTTGCCTTGTTTTTCCTTAGATCTGGCATATGTGGGTGAGACATGGCATAGGTCTGTGTAGCACCAAGGTTGAGGATCTCAGCATGCCAGAGACCCAGGCCAAGGCCCTTTGTGCTGACCACAGTGCTACTTTAAGCATATTCCTTTACCCACCTTGAACATCTTCCTTGAATAACAGGAAAAAGGTAGATCGCCTTTCAAGACAAAGTTACAGTCTGCACCATCTCATCCCCTCGGTGGCCTCCACCTGGATTTCTGTGCCTCTTACCCAGCCCCAGGTCCCCCTTTCTGTATTATGAACTTTCCACAGTTTAGAGAGAGGAGCCCCAGATGACTCTTGCTCCATGTTTGTCCTAAATGCTAACAAGTGATCAGACTTCTGATTATTTATGCATGGGCTGGTAGCTACAGAGCAGGGGTTCCTGCTAGCTGTGGAGCTGTGTTGACCAGATGTGCAGCCCATGAAGAGGTGTATTTCTCACCTTATCAGTTATTATGGCTGAATGTCATTTTGGTGGAATGCTGAGTCAGTCCTTATGAACTCTTAAATGTTTCCGCTGTTGTGAGCCAAAGAAATACTGTACACTCAGGCAGCACGTGGCAAAATGATAAAGCTACGTAAGCTACTGCACTTAGAAATCTTGTGGAGTATTTTAACTGCAAAGAAAATTGCTAACAGTAAGATTTAGTAGTACTTATTGTAAGATAACCAGATAATATTCCGAAAACAGGATTGCCAGAGAAATGTTGTCATTGATCTTTGTGACAGTTATCATTTTAACAGCTTGATCATGGGTGTCTCAAAAAAGCTCATTTTCAAGTTCAGATTGAAACTGTTACCCGTTTTCTACATTCTGGGATAACCTTCACAGACAGCATACAGCTATCCTAAGACATCTATTTATTTTCTTGAGGGACAGTGTGGATTTTGGACTGAAGCAAGGAGAAGTTGTCTTCGCTCTTGTGCCTCATATGCCCCTGGGAGGAGTTTTCTGTATGTAGCACTGGTTCTCAAGCTGATGGAGCTTTCTACAGTTGCAGAGAGCCTGCATCAGTGGGTCTGGGGTAGGACTCAGGAATTGAAGTTTAAAAAGTTACTCAGTCGATTTTTTATTCCCAGCCGGGGTTGTGAATCACCAGTTTAAAGCAAAGAATAGAGAAACAGAGCAACTTTTCAGTTTTCTCCTAACTCAGGAAATTGCACTGTGACCCCTTATTTAATTTGAATTATTTAGAGTTGCCAAATTTTTAGCTATGCTTGTAGTGGAATATGATCATAGAAGCACATTACATAAGCAACTGCCTCTTTGGATTATGCTGCTCTCTTGTCCATCTCCATTGGCAGAATGGAAATTCTTATTCAGTAAGACACAGGTCTGCCTGAGTAGAACCAGGCCTCCTCCACATAACAAATAATCAAGTTCAGCCAGGCCTTGTAACAACTGCCCTCTCCCAGTCAGCAATCATGGGCCTTAAGTGTCTATAGGCAAGAAAATATGTGAGTGGCTGTGTTTCAAGAGACAAGATAATCAGAACCAGGGGTGTAAAATTAAGTTTTAAAAGAGTTAAAGTATCATGTTAAGTTAAAATATTCCTGGAGAAAAATTTAAGTTTAGGTTGGAGAAGGTCCTTGAAATATAGACCAGGGAGATATTTTCTGTCCTTGATCCTCCTGTTCTGAGGGTGTAGTTTCTATGTATGAGTTGGGTTTCTTTTAAGAAAAACTATTTTATTTGGACCTGAACTCTGAAGTTTCAGAAGCTGAACTCTCAGGCTGACCACAGCCAAGACATGTATTTTGTGGTGCTTAACTTGGAAGTCTTCTAAAGTTTCCTTCTCATGGGCTAAGTGAGTATGTACAGTTTGTTTCCATGGTATCTGAGCACATAGGCAGTGAACAGAAAGTGGAGGATTCGGGAACTTAAAACACATCACCCTTGATGTGATGACCACTAGCTCCAAATGATTTTGACTGTGCACCTGGAACCAGAAGAGGGCGAGGCCTCTGACCACAGTGGCATCTTTTACTGCACATGTCAGGCTATGGAATGCTCCTGGAAAGATTGTGCATCGTCATACTTTGGTCCCCATTCACAAAGTGTTTGTCACTCGTGGGCAAAGGTATCTCATGGCTATGAGATAGTTGAAATGTATTACCTGGTGTTTGCATTTATCAGAGAAGGGCATTTTTTAAAAAACGTTATTATGCAATATTGTTCTGTAGCTGAGTAACATGTTGTGAATTCCTAGACTGGAATGATGATCCTAGTTTTACTATAAACTGCAGCTGCCCAAACCATACACTTTTGCATTTTGCTATGCTCTTAACTGATGAGGGCCAGTAGTGTTTCCTTCTTAATCTCTCCTTGTTTCTGTATTCATTTCAAAAAAGAAAAGAAATATTAATATATTCCTCAGTGTGTCACCTGTCTTTTAGGGAACTCTCTGCTTATCCTGTCCCCTTTAGCTCCCCTCTGAATGATGGGGTTGGGAGTGGATATGAGATTCAAAACAGGTTTTACTCTTGTCTTAGGTAACTCAGATAGAGAAAGTGGCAAAACAAAAGTTTAATGCTCATACACACTGTCGATAATGGACTGAATATGTGATGCTCTAGAGAAAGCAGAAGTAGCAGAAGTTTCCTGGTTCAGAGCTAGCCAAGCAGTTGGTGCTCAACGACAGTTCTGATTTTTAAAAATTTTTGTTTTAAAGCACTTTGAGGTCAGAGGGGTAGATACCCTAGCCCCCTGCCCTCGAAGAGTTTATGCTGTAAACAGAAGATCAGTCGTAAACCATGAAAAGTAAAAGATTTGATTAATGGTTCGAAATAACAGAATGGAGAGACTTCCCAGATTATGCTGTCGCCAGTGGGTGTTAGACTTGGCGTCTTTCTATAAGTTCTCTTGTATTCTTTCATTCAGCAAATATTTAATCAGGGTCTTCCATGAGCCAGGCATAAACAAAGCAGTGAGGTCCCAGCCTGAAAGAGTACACAGACTTGGTGGGGAAGTAAGATAATCAACAAGGAGCCATATGACACAGCTATAAACTGTTGTCCAAAAAAGAATACTTTCTTCATAAAGCCCGGTTCACCAGTGAGATGATAAAAATTATCACTTGGAAGCCTTTTTCTCCAGCCATCTTGACAAGCATTTCTTAAAGATTTCTCTCACCATCTTGGCAAGTATTTATACTTCTTTTTGACTTATAAGTGAGGGGTGATTCTTCAATGAGCCAAAGGAAATCCATTTTATAGGGTAAAGCTGCTTCAAAAATTATGGGTTTAAATTGTTGCTTTGCTCAATGATTCTTCATTCCTGGTAGAGAAACGGTTCAGATCCAGAGAATGGATATGCTTAGGAGATAGCATTCTTAGCCTGTTAGCCATTAACACTGTACCATTTTTCTCAATTCCTAACTGAAAATAATAAATCATATATTTGGAAGAAAGGACTAACCAGAACTTAATCTTTTTCAGAAGCCAAGAAGAAAGCACCCTGTCCTGGACTTGGCTTGTTTTATACATTATTGTCCGCCTTCCTTTTCTCAGTGGCCTCTTTATTTGTTAAAAAAGTGCAAGACGTCCATGCTGTAGAAATTAGTGCATTCCGATGTGTGTTCCAAATGCTAGTCATTATCCCTTGCTTAATATACAGAAAGTAAGTATTTCTTATCTGCAAAGTAGAAGGTATTAACAAATGTTTGTAAATCTTTTGACCTGCTGAAATTATTTATTCTCTAGCATCTGCTTTATCCCTCCCATAGATTTGCCATTTCCTACATCCTTTGGCTCTGATTACTAAAAAGTCACAAGGACCCACCCACAGAAGATGCTCTCATAAGCACAAACCACATGCCCAGCAAAAGAGGGGAAAGAGATTCAGTTATTCTCCACTCCCCATTTTGAGAACAAAGCCGTTCCTTGTATAGTTTCCTCCATCTTGTACCACCCTCCCTTCTTTCCCTTGGCATAACTAGTATTTAGAAGAAAAAAGTAAATGAGAAGAAGCGGTGGTGTCTCCTAATACCAAGATTTCTTTAAGTAGAATGGGCTGCTCTGTTATCCAGGCAAATAGAAGGTTACCTTAATAATGTGGGAAAGAGAAAAGGTAATCTTCAGCAAGGCCTTTTAAATAGTTTCATGTTTAGTGTCCTCATCTGTGAAATGGATGGAATTATACTCTTTGTCTTCTATCTGGCACCTTGGCTGCAAGGGCCAAATAAAATTTATTATAGATCAGAGTGCTTTGTGTAGAATGTAACACATGTAGTATTCCCCACCCTTCCTAATCACTCCCCACCCTTTCCCAGGTTAAATTATGCCTCTCTCACACCTATTATAATCTCTACACACCCCCGTGTACTTAGAACCCTTAGAGAAGAGACCAGTTGGGTCCCTGGTGGCAGTCTGGCTCTTTCTCTCTTTGGGCAAAAATGCTTAAACCCTAAACTAAATGCTTCAGTCAGGTGCCACCAAAGTCTCCTTGTACCTGTAACACAGTACAGATGCATTTGGAATAGTTTCACCCTGTATCCTGAGGATTTGGTGAAAAAGGTGAAAACTTACTAATTAATACTGTCAGAAATTCCTGTGGAAGTGTGGACAAGTCTCGGTATTTTAGGAAATGATGGTAAGACTTCAGAAATTTCTAAGGGTGATAACAGACCACTGACGCTAACACAGTTATCTTCCCCTTAATAAAAGAATTGTCAGGGGAAGGCATTAGAAGAGTTTTTTAAATCCTTAGCACCAATCTGTTTTGACCCATTTTATGTTTCATTATCATGGAAGATGCGTATGGTATTCCAAGTATTTTCAAAGTATGAGTCAAAGATGACCCACCCTTTCTAACTCCAGAGACCCAGCAGTCCTCATGTCAGGCCTACAGGGCTAGACTTCACATAGATGTTCAGTGCTGGTTCCAGGTCAGCAAGCTGCACTAGCCTGACATGTAACCAGCACATTGCTTGGTAAATATTTAATTAAAGAAAAATTGAGTGGCAGTTATTATACTTATCCAAATGGCTGTATGTTCTTTTTCAGTATATTTTAACTCTTCCTGCAGAGAACAGTCAAAAGTTGTCTCACATTTCAAGGCTAAAATACATTTTAGCATTACCTCAGCTTTTATAGAAAAACTCGTAAGATTGGCAATGCATACCAGTCAGCACCAAGTTTTCTTATGTAGAAACAGCTCAATCTTGAAATTGTATTTATTATAAACATCACTTATTATCACTGTAGAAAATTGGGGGAAAATAAAGAAGAAAAATTACCTGTGAGTCCATCTATTAATGTTTACCCACTATGACCATTTCAGTGCATTTTCCTTTTTGTTTTTTTTTGCAAGCCTGTGTAAACATAGGAAAAATTATATTTGCTGAATTATAATTATGCAATTTATGGAGTTCTCTTCTGCTATTTTTGCTTCTACTGTGAACACTTTTCATGTCTTTAGCTGTACTTAGAAACCATTTTTTAAAGGTGTATATTATTCATTTGTGGGTATTATTATAATTTACCAGTCCCTTATTTTTTGACAGTTAGGCATTCAAAAATTACATTTAATCAAGAATTGCAATATTAAAAACATACCAAGTTGGTTTAATGTGCGTTCCTCCATTTGAATTTACAGAACTGGGTTTATAGGCCCCAAAGGTCAACGAATTTTCCTCTTGCTCAGAGGAGTCCTGGGTTCTACGGCCATGATCCTACTGTACTACGCTTTCCAGGCCACATCTCTCGCCGACGCCACTGTCATCACGTTTAGCTCACCCGTGTTCACGTCTATCTTTGCTTGCATATTTCTCAAGGAGAAATACAGCCCTTGGGATGCCCTCTTCACCGTCTTCACCATCACCGGCGTGATCCTTATCGTGAGGCCCCCGTTTCTGTTTGGCGCCAGCGCCGCGGGCGTGGGCGAGAGCTACTCCCTTCACCTCAAGGGCACGATTGCAGCGGTTGCGCACGCTGTGTTCGGCGCCCTGACCCTGGTCATCCTCAGAAAGATGGGGAAGTCCGTGGACTACTTCCTGAGCATCTGGTATTACGTCATCCTCGGGCTCCTGGAGAGCATCATCATCCTCTTCATCATCGGGGAATGGAGTCTGCCGTACTGCGGCTTGGACAGGCTGTTTCTCATCCTCATCGGCCTGTTTGGTTTGGGGGGTCAGGTGTTTCTCACAAAAGCCATCCAAATAGAAAAAGCAGGGCCAGTGGCAATAATGAAGACTATGGACGTGGTCTTCGCTTTCATCTTCCAGATTATTTTCTTTAATGATGTGCCTACGTGGTGGACGGTGGGCGGGGCCCTGTGCGTCATAGCCAGCAGCACCGGCGCGGCGGTACGGAAGTGGTGCCAGGGTTCCAAATGAGGCTTTGCTGCCACGTGCACGGTCCCCGGGCAGACACGCCACGCGTGCACACAGCTGGAAAGTCCGCATTTCCTTCACTGGTCATACTTAATAAATATCGTAATTAAAGTACTATTTTTGAATATGGTATGTCTTTAATTAGCTAAGAATTTAGCTAGTCAGTGTGGTAGCAATTTTTTTTCTTAATTGTTTTGGTTTCGGTTTTTTTTGCTGTTGGGGTGGCATCGGTAAGAGGACAAAAAAAAATGTTCTATGACCGGTATAAATTTTTGTAATTTTTTAAAGTGTATTTTTGGTACTGATGGGATATATGTGGGTAGGAAATTTTAGATGCCCTTTGAGCAGTGTAGATGCTAAGAAACTTACTGATTATAATGCTGCTATAATTGGTATTATGTTGGAAATTCATTTGAAACCTACTTCCATTTCGGAGGCCAAAGCTGAAACTTGGAATAGGTGCCTACTTAATGGTGTTAATAATACAAATGAATTAGCCTTATTTTCAAGGCTTTTATAAATGGTTATCTTTCTTTTAACCCATATGAGTGCCTTTTCATTTTGATGCCAGAATTTTTATATGTAAACTTAAAAAAAAAAGTTTTTAATCACCAGGTTTGGCTAGAAGTTTTCCGTTTCAGTGGCATTCACGACTGTAGCTATCATTCTATAATTTAGTTGTCCTCTGTTTTTTTGAAACTGCACTACATTTTTCTTAACTTTCTAAGATTTCAGGTCTTTAAACCACAAGAGAGAAATCTTGGCATAGCCAGTGTGCACATTTCCATGCTGAAGTATTTTCCCCTCACTAGAAATGTGATTTTCTATAAATTCTCTTTGAATTTATAGTGTGATGCCAAATAAGATTTTCTCAGGATATTAGGTTGAGCCATATGAAATTGCTGAAATTTTACCTTTTTAACTTACAAAAACAATGGTTTCTTATGGTTCACCCTAATAGATACCTCCCTTACCCTCTCTGCACCAAATATTTAGAAGACTGTGGCATATATTTTAAGATAACTTTTTAAAATACAGTAATCCTATTAAATTTATTTTTGTAGTCCTTTTCCCTTATAGAATTACATGTAATAATGCTTCACGTTACTTGTTAAATGTAAAGATATGAATCCATGGTTGATTTTTGTAGTTTCTTGAACAACAACAACAACAAAAAAATCACTGTTAAATTCTAGTATATCAGTATAAAATGTTAGTGCTGTACCATGATACTAATTTCATGAATTCAAATGACATTTTTTATCTGGAATTTCATCAGGCCAATACTCTGCAGTTAAAAAGAGAATGTAATATTTAGGAGCACTTGGGAGGTTAATTAGGAAGTAGAGAGTAGACGCAAATGATTCTTTTATCACAATGAACTCTTTATTGGTGAAGCTATGATGGTTTCCAACTCTTACTGTCCAACCTAGCATCTGTTATTATCTTAAGCCTAAAGATTTGAATGATTATAGGCTCTTTCTCTCCCTTTCATCATAATTCTTCCAAAGAAAGAAAGAACTTGGCTTCTGAGGTTTATGCCTTGATAAGAAAGGATCTTTTCCAGTAGTTCCAAGAGGAAATTTTTAGCTTGCTGATCTTCCCAAATGCTTCCCACCTGACAAATCCTAAATGAAATCTACTTAAGGGAGTCACACTATCATTATAACTTTAGCCTAAACCACAATTTTTGGAGTTTAGAGTTGCAGAAGCATCATTTTGCAAGAATGTTACAGAATCAGAGCATTTTAAAGCTCAAAGATCCTCTTGTAGGGGCCATGCTGCACAGATAGAGATGCTGGGGAGGGGATCTGTCCAAGATGGGTTTCCATGGCCTTCTCCTTTCCCTTATTTCCATGATAACGTGTGGAAAGTAAACCACTGCTTAAGCTACCTAAGGTAAATTAACTCAGGGAACCCTCTCCTGGTTCTTTACCTTGCACAATGAAAGAACCTATGGGACTTGGAGAGTTAAATCCCTTTCGGCCTGTACCCTAGAGATGAGTTATTTCAACAGTGTGTGGTTTAAGTACTTTAATGTCACAATATATGACCAAGGTTGGAGAAAATGTTTCTTCTCTATAAACTTTTACAGAGTGTCATTCTTAAACACTTTTATAATGTCCAAAGTATATATAAGGATGTGTATTGTAACAATTTATGAGTGTGTATATTTTGCAAAGATTGTAGTTTCTATATCTTGAAAATATTTTCATAAATTGTTTTTATTATAAATACTAATAAAGTTAATATGAAAGAAGGCTATATGTTGGTTTCTATGATCATAACAAATGTGCTCGCTAATCTAACTTACTTCCTTTTTCATCCATGTGCTTCAAAATTCATTTTGTAAAGGATATGATCCCTAGTCATTCACCTGTGATGTAATCTCAAGTTTCAATTTTTTTTTTTTTACGATTTTATTTATTTGTCAGGGAGAGAGCACAAAGCAGGAGGAACGGCAGGGAGAGGGAGACAAAAGCTCCCCACTGAGTAAGGAGTCTGATGTGGGACTCAATCCCAGAATCATGACCTGAGACAAAAGGGCAGAAGCTTAACCAACTGAGCCATCCAGGCATCCCACAAATCTATCAGTATTTTTGTTCCTCTGATACTGTTACATCAAATCTAATGTCTCTAAAATAAAGACCGTAACCTTCTATTCCAGTGAGGCCTACGTTGTTCTAGACTCCCAGAGCTTAGAGCAGCTTTGAACCTGTACTTTTCTTTTCATAGCTAATCTGTCACTAAGTCCTGGAGTGTCTGTCTTCTTATTATCTTGTGGATTCATTCTTTCCTTGCCATTTCCACTGCCATCAGCTTAGTCTAAGATTGAGCACCTCACAGCTGAATTACAACAGTCTCCTAATGGGTTACCCACTGCTTGACTCTCATCCACTCAGATCCTTGCCTCACTGCCAGACCTTCGTAAAGCCGTTTTCTTTTTTTTTTTTTAAGATTTTATTTATTTGACAGATCACAAGTAGGCAGAGAGAGAGGAAGGGAAGCAGGCTCCCTGCTGAGCAGAGAGCCCAATTCAAGACTCGATCCCAGGACTCTGGGATCATGACCTGAGCTGAAGGCAGAGGCTTTAACCCACTGAGCCACCCAGGCGTCCCCTAAAGCCGTTTTCATTGTTACTTTGGTTTTCAGAGAACCACAATGTTGCTGTATCACATACCACATCTTATCCAAATTATTTGGCTCTATTCCCACTTTCCAACCTCATTTCCCATGTCCCGTCACAAATCAATACTCTTATCAATCTCCCCACTGGCCCACATTTGCCAAGAGATTCCTTCCTGGGTCTCCCCTGCTTCCTTTGCCACCTTTTCTTTGTCCTCTAAACCCTCTTGGCCTCCAAAGGCTCAGCTTGAGCTTCTGTTTCTTCCGCTGCCTCCAGCTTCTCCCACCCACACTTGCCCACTCTGATCGAGTAGATAAAGCACTGGAATAGGAGGCTGAAGATCTGAGTGTGGTTGTATCACTTTCCAGCTGAATCAATCACAGTGTACCTCAGCCTGTCCTCATTTGTTGAATAGAATATTTCTTGCCCAAACCATGTTATAAAGGAGTGCCATAGAGGGACTTGTAGACCAAAAAGGAAGATAAAAACACTACATATCAAACTGTAGTTAATACTGTAGAGTTGAACATTCTCTCTCCTCTTCAAAATGATGCCCAGTTCAGGGTCCTTACTCCTGAGCAGTTTCACCAGGAAATCCAGGAACAGTCTAATGGATTTCAAACCTCATTTGACTCTCTCCAACCAGCACGTAATTCCACTATTGGACAGTTCTCGATTTCCCGGCTGATCTGCCCACATAGGTGGCCAAGGGTAACCAGTCTTTATCTTATGCATAGGTGTTGCCACCTTTCCAGTTCTGGCTTTAACTCTGATCCTCTGTATTACACTTGGCTCTGGCTGGGTAATGTGCCTGATTTTCTATGTGTTTCCCACACGCTATTCTCTACACTCAGTATGGCTCTTCCAGCCCCTTATCTGTTCACTCAGTAAGCACAATTAGTCTCTTGAGGGTAATCTAGTGATGAGAGCCAGAAGTCTTTATGTAACATGTCAGTCTCTAATGTAGGTGTATGGAGCTGTGGTCAGCACTGGGCATTAGAATTTGATTCTTAGGGTGTAGGTTGGGCACATTAAGCCTGAGCACCACCCTAAGCACACCATTCTATGGTCCCTTTGGCCCCTTCTATGAAATCTAATACAGCTACCATATTCACTTGGAATTCTGCAAGATGCCCTAACAGGGACTCTGTGTTTCACAAAGACCCATCCAAGTTTTAGACTATTAGAACACTAGGTTTGAAGTTGGACTTGGAAAACCAATTCACAGAGAGCCTGTGAAACTTCACGCTGCCCATCATCCCCTAGAAATTGGGGTGGGACTTTATAGAAGGAGGGTAAGGGGAAGACGTATCTCGTGTCAAGGCAGGGCATGCAATGTTGCATCATAGAAGTTCAGTCCACAGGAAATGTGCCACTGGGTTGCACGAGGCACATGCCAGCTATCATCTATTAAGCCAGATTTGTAATAATATAAAATAATGCTATTCTTTTCACTGATTTTAAATAGTTATTTTTCATAAGAATATTATTTATGTTAACATTATGGAAACATTTTAATAAATATTTTTTTCAGTTTTGCCTTTAAATATGGTAAATATCTCTCTATATATAACCCATATAACAGAAGCTCTTTGGAGTTCTCAATAATGTTTAAGAGAGTAAAGGAATACAAAACCAAAAAGTTCCCAAGTTGCAGATTTAATATATAGTGTTATCAAATTTGAAACCTTAAAAAAACCCAGAAAACAATGATTAAGCCCACCATCAAATCTACCAACTTTTTCATGAGGTTCTCACAGTTTGAAATGCAGCTCAAAAACAGTTTGCAAATTAGAAACATCTTTAATGTGATGTTCCATTTTAGAATGGTGAGTTAATCAACTCTAAATGTATATAAGCAATCCAAATTATCTACCCAACAGAGGGCAAAGGAACAAGAAATCCAATTGGTCTATGTTCACAGGGTCCTATCAAGCTGCCTCTGTTACTTCCTACGTATGTGTTTCAGTTCCTTTGTATGTGCATTTTAGAAAAGTCAGAAGACTTTGATACTTGGCAAGTAAGTATGTGCATTGGTACAACTTCTGTGAAGGGCAACTTGCCAACATCTATC